ATCCAGTAAAACATGTAATTAAATCTGTTTTATTTTCCTTTTGTCATTCTTCTCATTTTCCTATATTTGAGTCTGTAGCAGGATTCTATGGTGTTAAGAAACTAAAAGAACTTCTGAGAGTGGAGCCGTAGTTGCCCAAATTGGAGAGCAGTTGTATATCAATGTCAAAGCCGGCATCACCTCATATTGTCTGGGTACACAATTTTTCAAGTACGTCAGTTGAATTCCGGAAAGAATAAATTCTCACTGTCTGCTCTCGGAAAATTCGAGTCAGAGCCTATTTTTGTTTAGGGACTGGCTCCAGTGTTCCTGCTGATCACGGACACAGATCCGGATGAACTTGCATTCTACCGGAGGTTGAGTAAATCTCTTCCAAGATAAATTCTTGGAGGATTTGCTAGCAGATATCGTTGTTTATGCCGGTTTGACAATTTGTAATCATTTGGTTGTGCATAGTGTGATCATCTTAAGGGAATTTTGCTTTTCCCATTATTTGCAATATACCATAACTCAGTGTTTGAAAGATTTGTACAGATTTCAATATTTAAGAAGTCTCATGTTCTTTGATGCTTCGTGTTGAAAGAGAGTTTGCAGGTTTAGGGTATGTTTTTCCTTTTACAATTTCGGCTATTACAAAAAGAAAGGAGTATATCCCTCTCCCTTAGTGTCTTTCCACTTCCGTCGTTCAGGAAGAAACACTTCGCCTAATTTTTTTGAATCTCGGCCCTCCCCACTAAAAAATGACGTTACTGACCATTGAACAAACTTGGTTGACGAACATGATTTATGCGCCACTAATGTAGTGGCTTGTCGAGCATTTGACAAACTCACACCATCCATTTCAAATGGGATTTGTCCCGTGGACACACGAGCAATCCAACTTGTAGGATTTTCTTTTCCTCTTCCCATTCTGACTTCTGTAAGTTTCTCGGTAATAGAGAGATATACGAGAATTCTTAATCATATTTTACCATTTCTTCGGACAATAAACTATTCGTATTTCTTTCATTATATCAGAATATATTTCAGTCTTATCTTTACTTTTACCGAATATCTTTTTTAAAAAAATATATTTTCATGCCACTTAAAATATATAAAAAATAAAAAATAAATAATTTATCACTAATAAAAAATAAAATATATATATATATATACACACTTTATATTATATTCTACATTATTATTAATTAAGTAGTTTTCCAAATTCAAATGCATTTTCTTAATTATTTTCTTCTTATAAAATAACTGTAAAATATAATTTTCTATAAATTTTATTAGATTTTAAAAATAGAATAACTTTTATGTAATATAATAAGCTTACGAATAACTTAATTTACTGTAAATTAAATACTATAAATCAGGATTTATTTTTCTACAAGTCTTAAATATTTGCATGAAAGTACAAATAAAAAGTCAAAGATATTTCTGAAAAGTCTTTCTTTTACTTTTCTTTTTAATTTTTTTTTTTTTCAGTTAATCATATTTTCCCTTCCTCCAAAATTGAACGGAAACCTCGTCCGGTTCGATCCTAGCTCGAACCCAACAATTCGGACAACATCCGTTGACGTGGCGTTTAATGATTGGTTAAAAGTCCGGTCCCACATCCCGATTGGACTTTCAACGGTTCCTACTCTGACTTCACTTGTCTGTCTTCCCTCGTTTACATCTCCAGAGAGTGTTGCAGATTCTGTTTTTATAAACTATAAACAGAAATTCTCGTTTCTATCTAATTCAACTTCCGAACCGCGTTTTTTTCACATAACAAAGAAACGTTTTTTTTTTTTTTTTTCCCCCTCTTTTAGATTTTAGTTTCGTCACTTTCTTCAAATTCAATTTATTTAATACAAAGTATTTTTTTTTCTCCGTTGATTGAATATTCAATACGAAATGTTACTGTATTAGAGAGGCTGTTGTTTGATTCCTCACGAACTGTAAATCGTCCAAAGTTTAACTTTTGATTTTGATTTTTCGGGTAACAGGATAATTATTTCAAAATCGAAGATTCAAGTCCGAATTTACCCATTAATTCTGTTTATAATTCGTTTGTTTCGAAGATCTGGTTACAAATCGGACTATGAATTGGGGGTTTTGATCCAGAAAAAGAAATTAGGGTTTTTGGGTTTATAATGGATAGGAGCAAATCGTTCAATTACTACGCAACGCAAGAGAACGAGTCTCAGAATTCGTGGAATAGCGACTTTGGATTCATCGCAAATGATCGCCGGCTCGCGTATTCGCGGCAAGCTTCGTTTCACCAGTCGCAAGAGCCTCATGCGCCAATTTCGATCATCTCCAGCGAATCTGCTAAGCCTTTTCTTTCGAGAACTGTGTCGAGCATTGATATTCCGCCTGGGATTTTCTCTATCGATGATAACAAGGAATTTTTCCGGGAATCGGAAAAGCGACGGGGGAAATTCTCGGTTTCGGATTCAGTTTCCTGGGTCTTTCGGGTCGTCAGGTCCGGGAACCGTCAAACGAAGAGGCTACTGCTGTTGATTTTCTTGAACGTCGCGTATTCTACAGCGGAATTGGCTATTGGACTCTTCACGGGTCGCGTTGGTTAGTCTTTATTTGTTAATTTTTTCCCCTTTAGACTACTCTGCTTTATGAAACTATTAAGATAAGTATTATGCATAGAAAAATACCAGTTAAAGTGATAAGAGAGAAACAAAATGGAGAAGTTGCAGATTGATTTGAGAAAAAATTTCACTATTGAACGACTCTTGTCTCATAATTATTCTTCCTTTATATGGAAGGAGGAGAAAACCCAAAGTTTGCTTTTATTACCTTTTTTTGGGGGGTTATGCCTATAAGAAAAACAAATTAAAGAAGGCCAAGAAATTCTTGGGTTCGAACGTTTTCTGTTTTGACATTTTTGTTTATGTTAGATTGGGATTTGTCTTTCGCTATGTTGCTATATCTTATTGGTTCCTTGCATTCTTTTCAGGTTTGGTGTCTGATGCATTTCATTTGACATTTGGCTGTGGCCTCTTGACATTTTCTTTGTTTGCAATGGCTACTTCCTGGAAAAAGGCTGATCATATCTACACTTACGGGTGAGTTAAGAAATGAAGTTGTGAAATCCTGCCAGATTGAACTGATGGGAAGTTATTATTTGCTGATAAGTAACAACCAGTTCGTCTTGTTCTTGAATCTTGATTGATAGTTCTTATTTTATTCACACTACAATCAATATCTTTGTCCAATTGCATAGATTTTTCTTTTTTACTTATGGTTATTATATCTAAAATTTGTGCGTTATTGAGCTGTAACTCCTGTAATTTTTTCTTACATCAGGTACAAGAGACTTGAAGTTCTGTCCGCTTTCACTAATGCTGTGAGTGTTGCATTTCTTGCATGTTTCTACAGTTGCCTCTGCTCGTATTGATAATCCATTGGGATTTAACTATTGTTAGCATGACCATTTTATTTCTTTTTGAAATGAATGTCTGCTGTAGGGAACATAAATCTGGGATGATTTTGACTATTTCAATCTCTTTTTAAAATTTGTATGTTTGACAAATTTAGATATTTCTAAGACATGGATGTTGGTAGTGGATGAGAATGATTGTTGAAAATCTCAGTTCTTGATTCCGGTGTTTTTTGTTGTTTCATATAGCAGTATCAAGAAATCAAATATAACAATTCACAAAAAAAGTAATATTATGAAGAAGTGAGATAAGTGTAACTGAGTGCAATAATGGAGAAGTTAATCATATCCTTCCTGTTCTATTCAAGTAAACAGCTGTAAAATCTTTGGTTTAAAATCTGCTAGTGACTGCAATAAGATGTTATTTGCGTCGCATGGGATGGCAGGCCTTTTTCTTTGTAATGCATGGAAAGGAAGAGGAAGAATCTTTTCGAAAAAGCTGTTCCTTACACGAGAGAAGTTCCAAAACTTGCTAATGTCTTGATATTTTTCTTTAGTTGGTTATTGATGGAATAGAGCTACATGTCTATTTGTTTTTTACTTGGTCTAGTAGTTCTTTTTCTGCTTTACATATTTTTATTACTTCCCTATATTTCATGTTTTCTTTGCATCATTTTCTTTTTTTACTTCATCACTTTGACTAACATCTTGACATTCTCTTTGCTGCATGTTTAGACAGCTGTTTCTTTTGTTCATGTCATTCTCCTTAGCTGTGGAAGCACTTCACGCGTTCATACAAGATGAATCGGAACACAAGTAAGTTGGTTCTTTTGATTCTGGTGAGAGTCTATAGTACTGTTAAACATGGTTCAATCATTTACTAGATTGCATATGAACTATGTTTGCTAAAACATAATTTCTGAATACTTATGGTGCATGCCTTTGATTTATTATAAAGCTTGTGGCTCCCTCGTTTTTGTGTGTTTCTGTTTTGTCAGAATTGACTCTCAATATTTGCTAATTTTAGCTGTATATAGGCATTACTTGATTGTTTCAGCCGTGACAAATCTGCTGGTAAATCTCATTGGAGTTTGGTTCTTCAGGAATTATGCACGCATCAATCTTGGTAAGTTTTCTACTATAGATCAATTATCTTCAAATTGATTGTTATGATTTGAATTGAATAAGAAGATTACCACTCACATATACTATTTGTGCATGTGTTCATATGTTTCATCTGTGACATAATGTACATATTCTATTCATATGTTTCATTTACTCAATATAATTATATAACCAATATTTCAAGAGTCATGGACTTTTGACGTGGGCTTTAGACTTTCGGTTGATTTTAATGATGCACAATGAATGAGAGAGATGATCATGTTGGCTTTTAACAATTTGATTCCATAATTAGGTTTTGAGCAATCACTCTTCTTATTTTTTCTCCATATATTCAACTTCATATCATATTGTGTTTTCTTGCAGTGTATAGGAAGGCTGAAGATATGAACTATCACTCTGTTTGCTTGCATGTTCTTGCAGATTCCATTCGTAGGTGTGTTATCTGATCTTTCTCCTCCTATTTCCTTAAGAGTGAAGAGTTTCTTTTTCCTTTTGTGAGGAAAAATTTTCTGAACATAATCAAAACCTTAACCCTTAACCAAAAATTGAAAAACTAATCTAATAAAAAAAATGACAAACTACTAGCCACTGCACTGCTTGGAACCTAGGTTTTTCTTTTCCCCCATACATTTGTTTCCTTCCCATCTCCAAATTTTGTATATCCATCTTAAGCAGGTGTTTCTTCTTCTATCTCAGTGCAGGTTTGATACTGGCATCTTGGCTTTTATCCCTCGGGTAATTCTTGCTTCGTTTTTTAATTTATCACAAAAACCAGTACTTTATTCACGCATCTCATTTATATACAACTCTCGACTTCATGCAGGATCGAGAATGCTGAAGTTTTGTGTCTGGGATTAGTTTCGGTTGCAGTCTTTATGCTTGTCATGCCTCTCTTCAAGGCCACTGGTGGCGTATTGCTTCAAATGGCCCCTCCTAGCATTTCTTCTTCAGCTTTGAGCAAATGCTTGCGACAGGTGCTCTTCTTCTCCATATTTTAAAATTTGACCAACAAAGTACGGTTTAACCTTTTTTGTTTCATCTAATTACAGTTAAGTTCCGAAACTTTGTTACCATATACATTTATCGTTAAACATAGAACTGCTTTGTTATAAAGCACATTTGCATGTGCCCGGGTTCCTAACATGATACATGGAAGTTAAAGGCTAAAAAATCGAAGTTAGAGAAAAAAATGATGAAAAAGTTACAGAAGGTAATGGTTAAATTGCTGGGGATTGAGCTGCCACAAGAGGCTTTTAAACTGCTAAGCCTAAGACCAAGCCACAAGGGTGAAGCTGTAATTCGTCTGTAAAAATTTCATAACCATGCATCATTCATTCTGAATTCCTCATAGAAACTGTGCTCTTCATCAGATAACCAGTCGTGAGGATGTTACAGAAGTTTCCCAAGCTCGTTTTTGGGAACTAGTGCCTGGTCATGTTGTCGGCTCACTCTCACTCCAGGTAGCTCGAATTCCTTTTCTAGTCGTCCTCAATGCTGTTGTAGCTATGTATTGGTAGAGAAATCGTAACTTGGTTTTTCCATTCCGCAATGAACATTTACAGGTGAAGAGCGGGACAGATGACCGGCCTCCACTCCAATTTGTTCATGGTTTGTACCATGATTTGGGCATACAAGAATTGACAGTACAAATAGACTATGATTGAGTTTTGACCCAGTTGAAGACAAGTGCTTATCATCAATGTACTTCATCAATATCATTTTTTTCTTTTTCGCAGAATTACGTTCCTTCTGTTCTGTAACCTAATATTATTTCTCTCTGGGAAGATATTCCTCTGATTCATGTTTTTGTGTCTTTGTTTTGACATTTTGCACGTTCAATTTGATTTTTGGCTTGTGGGTGATGGTCAAAAATGGACAGAGAACTGGCCCGGCTGTTATTAGTTATATTTGTATATATTATATACAGATATTAGTCAAATGGTAGCCTCCATGTTTTTCTCACAGAAGGAACAGTAACCTTTTGATTATATGATTGAGTAATTTGTCTGCAATAAGCAAGTGGTGTAAAATCTATGGTGAAATTGTCTTCTAAAAATCCCCAGTCAACACATGAATAAGGTCTCCTCCCAGTGTTGATCATTGATTCTTAAATAAGTTACTTGAGGAGTGTACTACTAAAATTGCTTGTGCATGAAAGTCAGAAAGACAAATGAACCATATACCATTCAACATCCTAAATATATATGTCTACATATATATACATATTATATATATATATATATAATATTCAAGAAATGTGAATTTAACCTACTAAACATCACTGTCCTTTTTGCTTTGCTGCAATCAGGACCTGTTACAGAATCACAGTACAAAGAGTTATATTACAAACAATGAAACGGCGTCGTAGTCGTTCAATTACAAAAAATCAAACGGCGTCGTAATGGTTTATCATCTCCCGCTTATCTCTGTGAATGGAGTGAGTTGGCTTCCCGGTAAGGAATAATCCGATTCGTGGAACGAAGGTGGCAGAGCTGGCCACATGAACGCCGGCCTCTGAGTCGGCACCTCCGGCGGATCCGCTTCCCCATTCAGAACCTGTAAAACAATCTTCATTGAAGGTCTCTTATTTGGATTCGGATGGCAACAAGACAACCCTAAAATCAACACATACTCCATTTCTTTCTCCTCGAATTGGCCTTTCAATCTTTTATCAACAGCATCAGTAATCAATCCTTTCCCATATAAATCCCAAAGCCAATACACTATGCTGTTATTGTAATTGTTCGGGTCGCTCTGATTCCCTGGTTTTCTTCCACAGACGACTTCAAGAATCAGTACTCCGAAGGCGTAAACGTCTGTTTCAACAGTCGCTCTTCCTGTTAGAAAAATTTCTGGAGCCATGTAGCCTGGAGTTCCTGCAATTTCTTTGGTTGAATGATGAGTTTGTTGACTCTCCTGGATTGTTCTTGCCAACCCGAAATCGCCCAGTTTCGGGTTGAACTCGGAGTCTAACATGATGTTACTGGCCTTGATGTCGCGGTGGAGGACTCGTTTCTCACACCCGTTGTGGAGATACTCAAGAGCTTGAGCTACTCCATGGATTACGTTCAGCCTTGTGTCCCAACTGAGAGACGAAGATGAAGATGGAATTGAAGATTGAGGTGAAGGTGAATATTCTTCCATCTCTACCTCTGCTTCGCTGAATATGAATTTTTCCAGGCTTCCATTAGGCATGAACTCATAAACCAGGAGGAGATCTTTGTTTTCATAGCACCATCCGATTAGTTTGACGAGATTTCTGTGATTCAGATTTCCGATTGTTGTTACTTCTGCTATGAATTCTTGTTTTCCTTGGTGGGATTTTTTCGAAACGCGTTTAACGGCGATTAATTTATCTTTCCAGACACCTTTATAGACTGTTCCAAATCCACCTTTGCCAAGCTTGTTTCTAGGACTGAAATTCCCAGTTGCATTTTTAAGTTCTTTCAATTTGAACTTCCTTGGTGCTAGAGTTGACCCTTGAATCTGATCTTCGATGCTTGGGTATACATCTTCTTGTTCCTGTTTCCTACATTTTCTTACCCAATACAGCAACAAGAAAATCCCAGAGAGGAGAGAAACTCCCACAACAGGGACAGTAATCCAGATCCAAACCTTTGATGCTTCTTCATTCACATTCGTTCCATTAAATTTCCATGATAACACACAGTTCAGCTGTGTTTCTGAACTCGTTGAGCCGGCAAATCCCACGAAAACACTCTCCGGAAGATGATTAGAGAGATCCAAAGGCTCGGAGAAAACCAGGTTTTCCATGTCAGGATCATCTTCCTCATTACTCCCCCTGGAAACAAAAACAGACAGATGGGTTCCATTATACTGAATATGAACTGTATGATTTGAGTTTACTCCATCGGACAGAGTAATCCCACGGCTGGTTAGCGAAACCCGTCTGATGGAATTGATACTGTTGATATCCAATCCGACGTGGTTACTATCAACATCTTCATCGAAGCTCTTCCTGGTATCGAATTCGATTGCAATAATTCTTGTTGGAGAAGAAGAGGAACCATTAGTGGTTTCATTTACAATCCCAAGCCACTGTCCATGGCTGTTTGGTGGGACTGAACTGTCTTCTGCTAATATAAAACATAGTCCTTCACCGCCTGGATCTGTCTGGTTCTGAATGTTGATGAGGAAGGTGGTATTGAAAGTTGCCTTGCCTTTCTTTGTGCTCCATAGCCTGAATTTCTCTCTGAACACCGCTCGACCCGACAAGTCTTTTATCAGCTTGCCATCTTTGACATCATTTGTAACTTGCAGAGAGTTGAATTCTATGTTTGAATCTTCATTAGCTAAAATGAGAGCACCGGTCTCGCTTCCGTTTGCTCTAAAGAAGATTGGAAAATCGAACTCCAAGCTCTGTGATCCGCCAACAATGGCGGCAATCAGTAGAATCTTCACCAGCAGAAGAAACAAGAATCTCATGCTCTTACTATATGTTACAGTGCCCTTTCGAAATATGTGGGTATATGTATACGTATAGGGAACTTTGCTGTGTTTTCTTGCAAAAGTTTCTTCCTTTCTCTCTTTCTTTCTTGAGAAAAAGAAGGAAAGAAGCATGAACAAAGTGGGTTTCAGAGTTCAATTCAAGAAGAAGAAAGTGGGTTTCAGGTTTCAATTCAAGAAGATAAGGAGATATACGTATATATACATGTATATGCACATGATTTTCATTTGATTGTAGGAGGAAGTGAGTTGGTCAAACCGATGACTTTATGCAAGAAAGCAACTTCCTTATATTTTCTGTTTGTGCTTTAATTGAAAATATGTTGGATTGTATTCACAAGCCTTGATTTTATTTTGAGGATGATGAATTTGATTAATATATACATATATATATATATATATACTGACTATTTCCTCGTAATTTCATATACATATATATATATATATATTAAAGAGAAGTATATGTATATATATATATACTGAAATAAACCATTGCATGTTTAAGCTGCTCAGATCTGATTTTCCGGGTTAAGATATCGGACGTTTTCATCTATGCTGACGGCTTAATGACGTTAAGGATATTTTTGTTTAACTGCTCAAATCTTGGACTGTTCCTGCAAATTCATTATTCAATTATTTATTCCTAAAAAATTAATATAAATGAATGTAAATTATTCTCTACAATGAATAAGTCTACATCTATGTATATGTATATGTATATACATACATATGTATGTATATGTAAATTAATTAATTAATTAATAAATCTTGATTATTCAACTATAAAAATTGTTTTCTTGGAAAGCAATAAAAGATTTTCCGTAAATTAATTAATTAATCACTATTTTTTATTTAATAAATTAACTTTTTATTCATAAACAATGCATCATGATGATGATATTTTTATAATAATCAATTTATAATATTTAATTTATTAGTGTGTTAGTAGAACTATACTAATTAAATTAGATACATCGCTATGGTTTGAATTTTTAGAATATATTATTTATATTCTGATAGATAGTTTATATTTATCGTAGTGAACATTATATATATATATATATATATTGAAAATATATCATTTATAGTATTTTATATATATCTCATATAGTTTTTATTTGAGATTTTTTCTACTTTTTCTTAAGGGACACCTTGCGTCTTTGAACCGATAACCATCTATCGGCTAACCTAGCCTCCTCCATCTCTCGGGACCAACAAGGGAAAGTACAATAATATTCTCTTTATATATAGATTTATTAACCTATTAATAACCTAATTTATTTTTTATCATAATAAAAAAATTTCTTATTAGTCTTATCTATAAATGCAGTCACACTATCAAATTACGTTAAATTTTATGTGTTCTTTTCTATATGATTTATTTTATTATAATTGTGTGTAATTTAAAATTTTATTTTTTTCATCAAAACTAAATCTTAGTATATAATTGACTATTTTACTTTATATAAATATGTCAATGTAATATATATATATATATATATATATATACATATATATATATATATATACATACATACGCACACAAAATATAAACACCAATAAGAAATTAGTCCAAATTACCAAGAGATAGAACTATATATATATATTTTTTTTTTTGTGTGATAAGATTGAAGTTTTAATTAATTTAATATAAAAATGAAAATTTAGAAAGTCAAACTTTTGAAAATCTTAATTTCGGTTATTATTTATAAAAGTCAGAATTAAAGACCTTGTAAAAAAAAATATTAATTTAAGTATGAGATGAGAACAAAAGAGAAATCATTCATCAAATATATTTATATATATATATGTATATATATGTGATTACCCAAAAAAAGAATTCCAATATGTAAGGATAAAGTAGGTAAATTGCATGTGAATTGCAGCATATACATTCACATACATGTATGTATCTGTTCTTCTCCTTTTAAACATGTAAGTATACAAATATTATAATATATAGTTGCATATATTTTAACTTCTAATTATTACATCAATTTTAACTCTAGCTTTACGAAGGAATCATTTCACAACAATTCATTAAATTAATTCTCTCTATGATTCGGCTCAAACCCTAGTTTATATGATACAAGCTGTCAGTCATGCAAAAATTTATTAGTTTACTATATACGTACATATATATATATGTATGTATAATTTTGAAATATTAATTCGATTACACATGCACCCACTATCAGTTTCTGTATATACACACACACACACATATATATATATGTATACATATACATACACAGAGACACGATATATATATATATATATATATATATGCAGCTTGGTAGTTGAACTCTAATTTCTGACCTTATAAAATATATGTCAATAAGATCAAAGGTAAAATAAAACCTGAAATTTATATTACTTGGAATATTTTTACTTAATTAATTTGGAGAATTTGACAAGTAAACGAGGAATTTTTTTATTAATTAAAAAAAAAAAAAAGGAATTAATACGTATCAAGAAACTTAGTTGAATTGTTTGAAATTTTCCCTGGAAAATTTCAGATGATTCCTCAGGAAAACCATTGACTTGTAATATGCAATAGAAAATTCTCTGATCTAATCTTAAACATCATTGCAATTTAGACTTTCTTTTTTAATTTATCTATCCGAATTATATACGAATTTACAAATTCAATTAATCCGATCGAGACCCGGGTTTTAATTAGTGATGAGATTTTTGAAGTGTGACATGATCATTCAAAGAATATCACTGTTTTTTTATTAATACTGAAAACCATGAACAAGAAACTAAAAGATAAAATTCAAAATAAGCAAATTTTTATCGATTAAATCGAAGATATGCTTAAAATCGTTGTTATTATAAGTGGCCGGCCTGTTCTTTGTTCATGTCAAACAATTAGTGAAGCTTTAAATGAACAAATGATCGCTCACATAAGTATTTATGTCAAAACCAGAATCTTGTAAACAAGAAAATTATATCCCTGCCGGCAAATCTCTCTCTTTGAATCTGCTGTATAATAATTCTCCGAAAAGGTAATGTCTTTCGGGTGCCAAACCAAGTAAGAATTGGAGAAAGACACTCGAGAAGAGGCATGGAAAAACCAGATGAAGATCACAATACAACAATTCATCATTTTAGTCATCATCATCATCCATTGATACAAACAAATTCACAGGCCAACAAGGATGCTACCTGTTTCGGATGCAGGCTTGACTTATTACCCGGAAAGGACTACTTTCGCTGTCAATCGTGCTCGTTTTACCTCCACGAAACCTGTTACAATATGCCCAGAAAAACCCACCATTCCAGCCATCCAAGCCATTCGTTGACACTCCTAGTAGGGCCTTCGTCCGCCTGGGATGACACTTTAAAGTGCCAGGCTTGTGGGCAGCATATTGCCGGCTTTTACTACAATTGTGCAGAATGTGACATTCGCTATCATATTCTATGTTCAATTATGTCACGTACTATTTCAATTTCCTCCCACCCTCATGCTCTCCATCTCGAACTCTCGCCTCCATACGCCTTCGAATGTGATATATGCACAAAGCCTTGCTATGATGGATGGTTATATAGGTGTCAATTATGTGAATTTGACACTCATCTAACTTGTGGCATTTCCAATATTGATGATCAAGCCAGTGAATTAATCCAATTGGTGTCTCTAGGTGCTGCTAGAGCAAACAATGAAGAGCAAATTAGCCCAGAAATTCCTCAAAACGGGAAATTGGATAGTCATGAAAAGGAGAAGCTTGGGAAAACCGGACCAGACTCGACTGAACCTTCTTCAAATCCGAGTGTACTAACTCCGGATACAATTAAGTTTAGTCCTTTTTCGGGAGAGCTGAGTATGACTCCAAGTTGTCAGTTTAGTGATGCTTGTTTTTCGATTGATCTAGCAAAGTCGTATTCGAGTTATAACTCGATAAATCCTTCTTCCATGGAGACAAATAGATATAGAAATGATGTGATGCTTGATAGGATCACAAGCAATTTGGGACCATCCAAAGAAGAACTCTATCATGGCAAGGAGCCAGGAAGCTTCAACTTGCATCCAGAAAGCAAGATAAAGGAAGCATTTTTAGCTGAATTGGGTAATGATAATTTGGAGGAAAAGAACAAGAAGAAGAAGATCAAGGCAATTGATTCTAGAGGCAGTTTGAGCACTAAAGAACTTATCAGTTCAAGATCAGATACAGTAAGTTCAACTGTCAAAAGTTAGACTTTCACACACACATATATACACACACATACACACTTTGCATTATCACAAATTATTAGGAATTATGTCTTGATATTTCAATTTGCAGGAAAGTTCTGGGTCTTCAGCCTCTTGGAGGAAGCTCCTGCCATGTTTCTCTTCTCCAAGGTAGGAAGAAAAGAGTTAGTAGAATTTTTGAAGAACATGGTAAGGGAAAACGAGAGACTGGACATTAGTTACTGTTCTGTTTTCAGATAGTTTTCGTATAAAGAAAACCCATTAAGCATATATATATATATATACATGAAGCTTACTATATATGTTGCTCTATATATTCATTCTGTGCCAACCCATTAAGCATATGTATATATATACATGAAGCTTACTATATATGTTGCTCTATATATTCATTCTGTGCCAACCCATTAAGCATATGTACATACATATACGAAACTTACTATATATGTTGCTCTATACACTCATTCTGTGCCAGTTTGATCGTGACTCATGTTTTTTTATGTCCTTCCCTTCATATTCTAGAGAAAGAATGAATTTAAATTCATTGTTCTCTCAAATCCTAATCCCAATATACCCCAATCTCAAAATCAGTGGGAATCACAATTATAATAATTATATATATATATATATATATATGTCTGCGTATATATTAGTCAAAAAGAGTTTGAAGGGATTTGAATAACTTTTTGGGTTGGGGTTGATTTTTAAGAATTAATTTCTTTTTTAATTCTTAACCAAATGTGGGACAAAGACAATGTAAAATTACATAAATTAAATTAATTTAGTAGTAAAAAAAAATATATATATATATATATATATCTTTTTTTTATTTATAAATATAATAAATTCGTTAAAATTTACAATCTCATTTATATACTATTAAATTAATTATTCAATTTTACTGAATCAAATATTATAAATTGATCACTCTCGATCGATTCATAAAATACTTATAAAATAAGAATTAAAAAGTACGATAGAAACGTGTAAAATAAAAAAGTTCGTTTGAAATTGCAGGCTCCACCGAAGCCAATTATTTTTGTCAATCATCAAATCATTGTGATTTTCATCATCACTAATTAAATTTTAACTTAACCAAACACAGCCTGGCTTTCTAGCTTTTTCTCTTGTTCTTTGCTATCTCTTACATTTTTTTTTTTTCTTTCTTGTTCATTCTTCACTTTCTGCCGGCTCTTCATTTTGGGTCACATGGAACTCAAAAATGTGTTTGATTTTTGAATTGGGTGGTGCCAATTTGTAGAGAATAATCTCTTTTCCGAGCTAATTAATACATTTCTTTTTTTTTTTAATTCCGAATTCGTGTTTTTTTGGAATAGAATTCGCATCGAATGTACTAAAATTTAATATCGTAATCTCGAGATAAATAATTTATACGTTTACTAACTAATAACGAGTGCAAGTGAATCGTTTGTATGGTCCCAATTTGTTGTTCTCTAAAATTGTTTTCGTCTTTTCACTTTTATTTATTAAATTTATTTGCAAAATTGAATGAGAGTTTTTCATGCCAGCTTGCTTGGGTCTGAGGGTATGAATGATTTCAATTTATGGAAAAAAGGGTATTTGTGTTGTCTCCATCTTCTAAAGTTTCACCTTCACATTAAATTGGTGAACATCTCAGCCACATACCTATACATATATATGTATTCATACACACTGTCAACCCCACATCTATACACACACACACATATATATATATATAACCCATGACAGAACATATTCCTGAATACCCAAATACACATAGGTGTACATACATACATACATATGTATATATATATATATTCTTCACATCTCATAATAGATCCTCCCACTTATTTCCTTGAGATTTCATTGAATCATTTCAATCAACCATACCCATATCACCTGTATATTTCAATCACATTATTATATAAACATACACTGAAACTAGAGAAACTTTAGAGAGAGAGAGAGAGAGAGTGTGTGTGTATCCATGAGAAGAGAAAACCAGAGATTGAAGAAAAATTCTGACAAATGTAAGAATCAAGACAGAGTGGTGTAATAAAAATCAAACAAACACTGTGTTGACACAGTTTCACTATCAATGTTACTGGCAGCTGCCACAAGTCAATGAAAAAGACCCAGCAGCCAAAGCATATTTAACCCTCCCCTCTTTAATTTCTACCTCTTTGTACCTTTGGGTTATACATACACACACATATACTGTATCTACAGGACTCAATTCTCACTTTTTCTCTCTCTTATATGAAACTTTATTATATCTTCTGTAAAAATTATTTGTCACATAAACTCACAAGGTATGAATATGGTGCCAGTCATAATTATCGAACTACCACTAGATGTGAGATAGGAATATCATGTGTATATACATATATTATGTATTTTTTAAAAAATTTACGAGCTTAAATTTTATTGATAACGTAAAATACATCAACTCATTTGCACATTATAAGATACTAATAACTGATTTTTACAAGTGCAATAAATAAAATTATGCTTCATCCCAATAAATCGTGACGTTTTAGTGATAAAACGATACCGTATATTTACGAGATTCAGGACCCATATAAAATTAAAATAGAAGCTCGAACTCTATTTCTTTTGATATTACTCTTTAAAATGTAATTTATTAAATGCTATATCATCTATGTGTGTGTGTGTGTGTGTGTATATATATATATATATATATGCACAAAGAGAGGAGACAAAATCTATTGGTTTGGTATTAATTAGTTATATATGACTCTTGTAGTCAACCTCAATGAAACTTACTTATGAAACAAAGTATAATACTAGGAATCTTAAGGCATAATTTAAGGATTATCCATAATTTAATTAATTAATTAAATGTAATCTAATTATTTGAATTTTTTTTAATAAAAAAAGAAGAAAATTATACGTTTAAAATAAATAAAAAATATTAAAGTTTAATTGATAATAGAAAGACATTAAATATTAAATTACAAAAAAAAAATGTGAAATTTTAGGAACAAATATAATAATTTACTTTTATATATATAATGGCAAAAATGTAATTTACGACACTTAAATTAGATATGTGTCACAAAACTAAAACAGTAGTTAATGATAAGATTAGCAATAATCATAATGTGATTAGATTAATTGAGTCTTGAAAGCAAAGATTCAAACAAGAATAGACATTAAACATTATTGAATATCAAATCCTCGTACGAGCACTTAAACATGCATCAAGCCATTCCGGACTCATTATATATAATTTTGCCGTCTTAATTATAATTAATATTTTTAATTAAATCCAAATTTATTAACTTAAATGAATAATTAGTTTGCTAATTACTTTTATTCTATTTGTAATTAAAGAAAAAGACAACTAAATTAATTAATGTTAATTTTGAAGTTTAAATTAATAACTATATTATAATCAAGATTAATTAACATTAGTTAATTAATTAATTAATTAGTTTATATGGTTTGTGGAGTTAATTAGGTCATGGCATGCAAGCCCCCACCAAAGCCTAATATATTAAAAGTAGAATATTCAACATTGGTCCATCTCTTCTATAATATTTATTCCTTTATGTATGTGTGTATATACATTTATATATATATATATATATATATATATATAGCTACATCTATTTATGTTTCATTACATTATATGAATACGTATATATCTTAATTTTATAGATAAAGAGTTCAAATTTTTATAAAAATAAATTAATAATAATTAATTAATTAATTACCTTTATTTTCATATTATTTTTAATTTGGTCCAAGAAGCTAAAAAAAAATTTAAAAAAAAAAACAAAATTTTGAACATTTTTTTTCAATTTGTGAAGATAGAAAATGTTATATATACGTATATGTATATGTATATGTATATGTATATATTGTAGATTAGTTTGCAGTCATCAAAATGCATGCATGCTCATATATGTTAAAAACCTATATCATCATCCAAATTAATTAAAAGCTGAGTCAATATTTAATTACGTGATTTGGGTAATTAAGGATGGAATTTGAATTTACTACGTTTTTTAATTATAATTACCGTAAGTGTAATTACTAAATTTAAGATAAACTTAATATATACTTACATTGTAAGTCATATAGGACGTATAGCAACTTCCTATATATACGTACGTATAGGCTATCGTAATATATATTGGTACAAAAGTATTATTAAAAAAAACCGATATAATATTTGAAGCTTTTCACTAATCATGGGTATAAATCTTTACGATAATATTGTTTAATTAATTATTAATAAATTAATACCGTAGAATTACCCTGACCGTGGCATGTGATTACAAAAGCACATATATATATATATATATATACACACACACATATACACATATACATATGTATAGAGTCCAGGTTCTTCTCTCGTGGCTTATGATGTTAAATTCCTCTAGTCAAAGGAGATACATGATTAAATTAAATTAAATTAAATTAAATTAGATTAAACCTCATTATCTCATCTAATCTTAATTGTTTAATATTAAACCCATCAATTTAAGAACACAAACAAATCAACCCAACAAACAAATAATTAAAAGAACCAAAAGAATAAGCTGTCAATAACCTTATCCAGCAAAAAACACTTACATATACACAAACACGTACATATATATATATATATAGAGAGAGAGAGAGAGACGTTCTTCAGTATAGAACAGTAATTCATGAAGCATCTGAAACAAGAACCAAAAAGAAAAATGGGGAGAAAGATGAAGAAAAGATCATGAAAACACACAAATTTCATATTAAATATATTAATTATTATATTAACTAAGTTGCTTATGATAATCATCACATCATCTTCTTCCTGCATATTATCACATGCTCCATCTCTACTTATCATCCTCACCAAGTACTGCAACTGGTTGGCCCAGCAAGCTGCTTATTGATCGAGCTTTCACCATTCCAAGCTTCATTCTCTTCTTCGACCTCATCAATGGCTTCTCATCATCCTCTTCTTCATCCTTCCCATCATCACCGCCTGCACCGTTCTCGTCAACCAGCGAAGATGAAGAGCTCAACAGCAATGGCGGCGCCTCTTTCTTCTTCCGTGAAATATTATCGTTAGTCGCTAAAGACCGGCTGCGAACACTGGTCATGCTCCGGAGGCGGCCTTTACCGAGGTGATGCTCGCAGAGGGAATAACCCACGAGGGTTTGTTGGCAACACCTCCATCCTCTTCCATTAACACGACTGCACCTCGAACCCTCCATTAACGCACCACCCCGAGCTCTCTTCTTTGTACCAGTACCAGTGACAGCTGTATTATTATTACTATTACTGCCTGCGGTATCAGTTATCAGTTCACCCAGAAGCTCTTTTCTTTCTTTCTGATCAATTACCAAAACGGCACCGTTTTGCCCCTGCACAGTACATTTCTTGTTCATCTTCGTCTTCATCCTCACGTTCGTCACCTTCTTGTCATCTTTCTCCATTATGGAGACCTCGAAACTCCCTCTTCTTTTCTTCAATGGAAACGCTTTCTCCTCCTCACACCATCTTTCAACAGATTCTGGTGCAAACCCATCAAACCATTTACACACCAACAAACAACCCCAGCTTCATATCATACATATATACATACATACGTGCGTAATTACCTTGTAGAGAGCTTGACTGAGGAAGAAACCCAGAATTCATAACTTCTGCAACACCCAGATTGGATTTCTTCCTATAAAAACAAGGCAAAGCCAGAGGATCAACAACTGATAAGATTTCAGAAAAGAAAATTTGAGAGCTAACCAGGATGATTCAGATCAAAACGAGAGGAAAAGAAAAGAAAATGATGAGTGCAATTAAGAGGAAAAATAGAGAGAGAAAGAGAGTAAGCAATGTAATGTAACACATATTTGGAGATGGGGACCAGCTGTAGCAGCGTCCCATGCTAACGTGCACCGCATGGGGGCATATTAGTTAGCCAACAACATAGAGAAAAAGAAAGGAACCCAAGAAAAAAAAATTACACTACTCTACTCAACACTAAATTTAGATTTGATGGGAAGGTATATGGTGGTGGTGGTGGCTGGCCAAAACTCATATTATATATATATATCTATATATATATATATATCAAGAACAGTATTTCCACTTACAGAAATAATTTGTTTTTCTTTAACCCTTTTTCCGATTTTTTGTTTAGTTAAATCGATTTTTTTTTATCGTATGGGTATTAAAATGTGATCTGGTTTTAACTTTTTACTAGAAGAGTTTCATGAAGAAGGAAAAGAAGATAAAAATTTCTCTTTCCTTCTTTTCTTTCGTACCTGGTCTGTTTACTCCCTTCTTCTTCATCTTCTTCTTCTTCACCTCTTTGCTGATCCTTCGGATCTTCCTGCGCCGTTTTAATCTTCTGCAGCAAAACCTACAAACCATAACAAAATCCAAAGCTACGAAAAAATAAGATCTCCCAACTCGTTTATGGTGCAAATTAAATCGTAATCAAGAAATTAAAATGTCCCTTTATATCACTTCACGAAGAACAGAAGTGCAGTACTATTACTGCACTCTCCCACAAAATTAAACATCTAAACTCTAATAAAGCTAGAAAAAGTTACAAATAAGGAAAAGGGTATATGTTTTTTTTTATCTTGTACTAACCAAAGAACCCTCGTTCTTGTCCTTATCCTTCTGAGCATCAGAGCGGCTGTCAGGTCCACCGCCGATCGGGTGATTGGGCGGATGAGTGTCACCTGGGGGCTGGCCAGGGAGGAGGTCGGCGATTGTCTCAGCTACTTCAGCTGAGTTCCCGTGCAGTTGCACCACCGGTGCCGGCCGGCTGATCAGGAGGCGGTGGGGATCTGAGGATAAAGGCACCGGAGAAAGAGACGAGAGCGGAAACGGCACCTGTCTTTTCCGGATCCTCATCGGTGCAAGCCAAGATCACCCACTCTCTCCCTCTCACACCCTATAAAACAGATTTGATAGGTAGAGGATGATACCCAGAAGCAACAAGTAGAAAGACGGAAGGAAAAGGAAAGTGATCTTTGAAGCTCAGATTTCAGAGAAGAAAACTTTGTGTGTGTGTGTGTGTGTGATGCTTGTGCAAACTGCAAAACCCCAAAAACTTTGTACACCAAACAAGAACAACAATAACAGAGATACGAAGAAAGGCAGAATAGAAGAAGAGAGAAGGATGGAGTGAAAATTATTTATGTGGGTTTTTGTTTTTTCTCTCCTTCTCTCTCATAACTTTTATTTTGTTGCACCAGAGAAAGAAGAAGGGGGGGGAGGGGGGAGAGGTGGAGAGGAAAGGGAAGAAGAAGTGGGAGAGAGGGAGAAGAGGCACGTGCGATGGATGAGGCACGTGCTGGTAACCGGTTGAGGGGGTAACCGGTGAGGAATCAGACAGGGTACGGACGAGGGGAGAAGAGAGAGGAGGTGCCAGGGTGGAAGGGAGAGAGAATACAAAATGATGGGAGTGGGTAGTTTTATCGTTTATACTTTTTAGAACAGACGGGTGGGTCCCACATACGGGACCCACATTTTCCTCTCACCCTACAACGACCAAGATGCTCTCTCTCTCTCTATCTTTCTCAATTTTATTTTTATTAATTATTAATTATTTTTTAGAAAAATATATAAATGTGTGTATATATATATATATATATAATGTTTAGGTGCAAAATGTGGAAGAGGCATTACCTATGTGATGTGGGTCATTGAACAAGCAGTTGAAGTTTTTGTGACTGCTGTGTGGGGTTGTATATTTATATGGAGGAGGAATATGTATACATCAATTTGGGCTGCAACCTTTTTAAAAAATTTACTCTACTAAGTGAATTTTATAAGTTAATTTTTTTTTTTTTTAACTTTTAATAGGTAATAAATTTTTATAAATAAATTATTTTTCTATTAAATTCAACGCATCTCAAAAAAAAAATCAAAAAATTAAAATTACACACAGCAATAACGTGATTGATAAACTCCTTAAAAAAAATTTAATTTTTTGATTCACTCGTTCTTTATATTTAATTATTATTTTATCGAATCAATTGTATCAGTATTTTCATTCGTATCATCATGTGAATAAATTTTTTGTATTTTAATATTTTTATATATATTGTATTGTATCAATATAATTTTTTTTTATGAATGATAATGGCATTACAAAAACAAAAATGAAGGAAGCTTAAGGGCTTCGATCAATATGAAAATGAGTTTTTCCTGTACTTTTCAAACATTTCTTGGCGCCTTTTCACTCAAAGAAAAATTCTATGGATAATCGCTCCTGCACACTGATATTTGAATTCTAAAAAATTAATTTATTTATAAATATAAGATAGTAACTACTGTACTCCACAAGAACATTTAGTCGATAATAAAAAATGAGTATTTATAAAAATATAAGTAACAAACAATTTCGAGCTAACAAACAAATAAAATATTCATACTAATACTATATAAAAGGATATCAAGATTGTATATATCGTGGATAAGAGTAAAATTTAAAGATTTGACCATATTCGTATTAAAGAACAAACTTTTACGGCTCAATCATGCAGTTAAAACTACGTAATCGAACTATCAAAACTAGTCTTAAACTCGAAAAATTAAAGGGTTTGATATGATGAAGCATTTTTTTTTGTATAGGTACAATATCATACTAGAATTTTCTTTAGTTGATTTACCTTTAGTTTGGTGATTGCAACAAATATATATTTAAATAATTTTAAATACAGACATATTTATTATATAATAATTTTTAATTAATTAATTAATAATACTTTGAGAGCATTAATTATAGTAGTTAATTAATTAATTAATTAATTAATTTCCATTAATAGAACAAAGCCGCCATAGTTTATTTGCCACCGCAGCCAACATTTTAGATTTTAGTGAATTGTTTGGATTTAATACACAACCTAAGATCTAAAACTACCTTTTTTGTCGTATATTAAAAAAAAAATTATTATTATTATTATTAAATAAGTTTTCTTTATCTAATTAATAATAAATGGAATTACTTATAGAAATTTGGTATATAATGTTTTTTTTCATTAATAATTTAATATTTGAGGGTATCTTTTTATTCCAAATTTTCAATTTTTTTTTATTAATAAAAAAAGTTGAAAGATTTTTAAATATATTTATACATTTTAAAAATGGGTTCAGATAATAAAGTTAATTAATTAGAATTAATAAATTATTTCCTAACAATAAATTTTTACTAATCGTATAAAACTAAAAACATATTCAATACTTATTATAAAAAAATATGACTTTTTGTAAGTATATAAATAATAAATTATTACTGTAATAAAATATAATTTTTTATGAGTATATAATAGAGAAAAAATTATTTATGTTGAAATTAAAGAAGTAGATAATACTCATAAAAGACGTACTATTATTTTTTATCTCACGTTGAGTAAAGACTCTTAACATATTTTAATTTTATGATATGAAGATTATTCGAAACTCTAATAACATACAAGAGAAAATAAAATATGTTAAAAATTTTTACTCAACGTGAGATAGAAAATAATAGTACATCTTTTATGAGTGTTATCTACTTTTTTAATTTCAACATAAATAATTTTTTTCTATTATATATTCATAAAGAATTATATTTTATTACAGTAATAATTTATTATTTATATACTTAAAGAAAATTGTGTCTTTTTATAATATTTTTTAATAATTAATTTAATAAAAATTTTCATTAATTAATAAAAACCTCTTAACTTTCCTAATTAACCTAAAAAATAATGTAATAATCAGGCAACAAATGAGGGGATATTATATGTATATATATATGTATATGTTTGATGAATAAAGTAGCATTGGATCCTCAACTCAAAATATTTTACATTATTAATATATGTGTATATATATATATATTTCGATTTTTTAGTTTAAAAAATCAAATTAATTCGACTAATTTACATAAAATAATTAATTGACACCCTAATTAATAATATAATTTATTAAAAAAAAATAAATAGTCAAACTTAAAAGATTAAATTAATTAATTACCTCAAAAAGGAGAATACAGCTTGCACATTATGCTCTCGAAGAATATTATGGGGGCGATGTGGACAGGCTTCACATGTTTATGTGCATCACATGCCCATGTGCCCAATTTTCACAAATTTAATTTAAAAATTTTTAAGAAAAAAAAAATTAAAATTTATATATTTAATGTATAATTAAATTAATACGACTCGTAATTAATTTTAATTTTTACAGTTACATATACAGCTTAAATTTAATTTGAAATTTAACCCACAAAATTATAATGTTGTTTTTATTTAAATTTTTATTACATACTTTTTTATATTGCAATAAATTAAAATTAACATATGTATATATTTTTTTAAATGAAATTATATTTTTTAAAAAAATTATTTGGATACTTCTTATCCTACTAATTACAATTGAAATTACCAGAGGCTTGAATCAATTATATAAATACATGAGATGTGATATTTAAACATATATATATATATATATATACACACACAGATACAAAATACAAATGGGCCTTTGGGGATGGAGCCGACTGGCCATGGGCCCTTGGACCATTACACTATTTTATATTCATCATGAAGTAACTTCTTTAATTCCTAATTCATGTAATTATTCAAGTAAATAATTCAACTTTTGTATGTATATGTATACATATGTATATATGTGTACTGATCGATCAATAATTTTATTTTAATAAATTGCAAATATTTTTCTTTTTTTGCTTATATATAT